AGGAATACTTGTAGGTAAGGCTGGCCTCTCCCTACCTGGGACCTTCTCCAATACTCCTTATTGATTACTAGAAGCGTTTAAGCATCTTCTCGCCCACTCCCTTTGGGGGACACAGGCAGGTAAGTCACTACATTGTAGGATTAATGGAGTAATAGCAACAACAATGCCTTCCACTGAGGGAGTATTTACTCAGTGCCAGGCATGGGGCTTGAGGCTTTACACATGGTGCATTTCATCTTGCAAGGGCACCGTGACTAGTCACTGCTGTCATCTCCATTTACAGGGAAGGTAACTGAGCTCGGAGATTCTAAATGTTTACTTAAGGTCACACAGTAAATATGCTCTGAGATTCCAAACTTATCCTGTGGGGACCTAGAGGTGTGTCCTTTCCGAAGGTGAGAAACCTCAGGGGTGGAGAGGGACAAGGAAGAGGGTGGAAGGCCACCTGGAGGCGGTGGCCTTTGAGCTGGGACTCGCAATGTAAGAGTGTGTCAGGCAGGTGGGAAAGGGCTGGCATCCTGGGCAGGGGGCTCAGAAGGAGCAGAGGTATGGCTGTGTGTAAGTAGCAGGGCGGTCAGAGAGTGGGGAGCACTTCCGGGGTCAAAGCGGGGAGGAGGACGGAGGTGGGAGTAAAAGAGGAACTTAGAAGGGGGCGCTAGGGCTGGAAGGTGAAGGGCCTCGGATGCCAGGCTCAGAGCTGTGCCTTGGTCCTGCAGGTGCTAGGGAGAGAGGCGGAGGGATTAGATGTGTGCCAACTGTGGAGACAGGTGCGGGGCCAGAGGCAGGCAGCCTGGGAGGAGACACTAGCCTCCAGCCTCAACACCTCGGTTCCAGCCTCCGTGCTCTCCCCACGCCAGCGGAAGAAAAGGCAGAGACGACCAGCACTTCCCCGGGGGGCTGGGAAAGTGAGGAGGCACCGGAACCAGTAAATCCCTAACTCCCCCGTCTTGACCTATTGCCTTTATTTGAGCGATGTTACTGGAGGGAAATGCTGAACTCAATTAGGGAGTCTCTCAAAAAGAGGCATTTCAGGCAGGACAACAGGAATACTTGTGGGTAAGGCTGGCCTCTCCTCACCTAGGACCTTCTCCAATACTCCTTATCACCATCGATTACTAGAAGCGTTTTAGCGTCTTCTCGCTCACTCTTTCGGCAACAGAACCCCTTGGTTTCACCCTCTAACTTCTCTTCTCCGGTCTCCTTCTGTCTTTACTCCCTCAGATTTCATGTCTGCTTCAGATTTAGAAACGAAAACAGAACCGGTCCGAAAATACTACGGGGAGGGTGGTGAGTGGCGAAGACCTCCCCGGGAGCCTGTGCCTTTAAGGGAAGGGGCGGGGCGAGCCCTAGGGGGCGTGCCTTTGGAACGGGGTTGTGTAAAGGGCGGGGCTGAGCGGGGCGAGCCCTGGTCCAGCCCCGGGACCAGTTCCAGACGCTGCAGCGGGCGGGGACCGGGAAGGCCGCGAGGCCGCGGCGGGGTCGTGTTTCGGAGGAGGCGGGTGAAGGCCCGGCCTGAGGTAAGAGGAGGCTGCCTGCCGTCTAGGGCGCCGCGGGAGACCCGACTCCCGGAGTTTAACTTCTCAACCCCCGTCGGGTCTGGGAAACTGAGCACATAAACTTTCTAGGCGTCTGGCGCCTAGAAAGTGCAACCGCAAAGGTGGTCACAGTTCCAGTTTTCTGCCCCTGTCCCTTCCTATTAGATCTGCAGAACTTCCGAGCGTCTGAGCGCCTGGCAACGGACAGGCGCACAGGAGGCGCTCAATAAATACTCCCCGGTAAATGAGTACAAGAAATCCGCGGCCAACAGAAAGGAGACAAGTGCTGATCCTCAAGCTGGGAACACCAGAGGCGCGAGGATCTGTTGAACCTTTATCGTGAACTCTGAGGGGCCGGCATCGGTCTCCATTTTACGGAGGAATCAGAGGCTCAGAGAGGTGAAGTGACTTCCCCAAGGCCGCACACCTCCCGCGTGACTAAGACTGAATTGAAAACCTGGAGTCTCCGGTTCCAAGTCAACCCTTCTAAGTCGGTGAAGAAGTTCAGGGAACAGCAGAAAGGGGAAGAGTCAACAGGTGAAGGAAGTGCTGGGACCTGCCACTTGTACCCCCTCCTCTCCCCTCTTCTTCCTCAGGGCCTCCTTTTCTTACCCCTTCTGCCTCTGCCAGGGTGTTGAGAAACGTTTGTGCAAAAGATTGCAAAAAAAAAAACAAAACAAAAAAACGTTTTCTGAGCTGTTTGTCTTGATGGCGAAATAAAACTTGTTCATCTATGATGTGCAGAAGAGAGCCAAAAGAAGGAAATTGGTGTGCCACAGATTTTTTTTCCCCCCAGTTTAATTTCTCTGGAAGGAAAACGAAGTCGGTTTTGCCCTGATGTTGAAGGCTTAGACAGTCCAGCTGGAATCTGCTAGCAGACTGTGTGACTTTGAGCGATTCACTTCCCTCTGGGCCTCGATTTCTCTATCAGAGGCACTGTTGGCTCCTTGCTGTGTGACCTCGGGAAGGTTATGGAATTCCTCTGAGCCCAGCTTCCTCCTCTGTAAAAGAGGTGGAGACAGAGTTGTTCTGGGAACTAAATAAGGGTGGCAAGGCCCAGGGCTGAGGGTGAGGGAACAGCCTGGCTCTGCGCCCCAGTTCGCTCATCTGTGAAATGGAAGTAATAGCCGTGCCCCCTCCAAGGGGAATTGTGGGCATTAAATGGGGTCATCAGGTGTTAAGTTCTTGGCTCATTGTAAGACACAGAACAGCGTTGCTCAGTAGTTTCAAACTGGTGGCCCAGAAGCCAAGTCCACTCCCAGATGTATGTTTTTTTTCTGTCCTTCCGAGGGCTTGCCCAGTCACCACCACGGCCTACTTCCTGTATTTATCTCACCCAGCTGGCCCCTGGAGGCAAGAATCTCTGGATTCAGATCTCAGGATTCCAAATCTCAGGATAGTCCCTTCCAGCCTTCATATTCTGATTTCAGGCTAGAGAAGAGGACCCTAGGTTTCCATGGAGACATTACTGGGGGCACAGGAAGAAGGGCGTCTGTAATCTGTGTGCAGAATGAATGGGAGTGGGGACTGGGTCCCTCCAGCAACCTCCATCTGGAATATGGGTTTCTACATTGGTTTTCCTTTGGTGGGGGGAGGTGGGAGGGCAGTTTCTCAATTTAAAAAGTTTTTAAGCCCCTCCTGTAGGTTCCTGGGGTCTTCAATGACACCGTCCTTCCTTCTTACTCACACCCTGTAGGCCACTGGAGCTGCCAGCCATTTTAAACTGAAACACTGCAGAAGGGGAAGCAGAGTGTGAGGGCCAGGCCCCGTGGGGGCTCATGGCCGGCAGACAGCTGCATCTGCACTGGGTGCCGCATTTACTCTATGTGCTGCTGATGGTGGAGATAATGTCTGGGGCCAGCGACCCATCTACAGGCACCCATATCAGCCCCGAGTTTCCAGCCTCAGATGTGAACCAGAGCCCTGTGGTGGACGTGAGTATCTAGGCAGGAAGCTGCCATCAGGTGGGGGTGTACTCATTCCCATCAACAGATATTTATTGAGCATCAACTATGTGCCGAGCACTGAGCCGATCCCTCGGATATACCAGGGAACAATCAAGACAAAAATCCCTGTCCTCACGGAACTAAGAGTCTCCTGGGAAGACAGAAAAAGAAGTAAATAGGTCAAATTCAGGTGGTAAGATGCCAAGTGTCCTGCAAATAATAGGATCGAGTTATATCGGAGAGGCGGGGCTGTGAGGGGGTGGGTGTATTTCCAACTGTTTCAGATTAGGTGGTCATAGATGACTTCTATGAGGAAGTGATCTTTGAGCCAAGCCCCGAATGGAGAAAAGAAGCCACTTGTACAGTCATCTGGGGGAAGAGCATTCCAGGGGGGCGAGAATAGCAGGTGCAAGGGCCCTGAGGCAAGCTTGGTGTGTTTCTATAACAGCGAGGAGGACAGAGTGGCTGTAATAGACTGAGTGAGTGGGGAGAGTGTTAAGAGATAAGGATGGCAAGCTAGTGGTGGCCAGATTATAAAAGGCCATCTAGGCTGAGGCTAGGAGGTAGGATTTGTTTTATGATAGCGGGTAGCCAGTGGAGGGTTTTAGGCAGAGGAATGTCAAAATTAGATTTATTTCTTCAAGGGATCTCTCCGGCTTCTCTGAGGAGAATGGATTTAGAGGGGTGAGTGGCAGCAGGGGGATCAGTGGGGAGGGTCCTGCAGCTATCCAGGTGAGCGATGGTGGGTGTGGGAGATAGGAAAGCAGTGGTGGGTTTTGGGACACATGTTGGAGGCACAACGAGCAGGGTATACTGATGGATCAGGTGGAGGGGCGTGGTGGTGGGAGAAAGGGAGGCGTCAAGGGCGGCTTCAGATTCCTGGCCTTAGATGGCGGTGCTGTTGACTTCGATTCATGGAGGGAGGGACAATGGGAGTTGCTGGGGTGAAAGGCAAGCAGGAGGGTACGGGCCACTGAGAACTTGCGTCATTCCATTCGATGTCTATAAGCGGGGGAGAGGTCACAGTGGATCCAGTGTGAGCAGCTGAAGGGAGGGAACCACGCAAGATGACTCCCTGGAGTCCTCTCCAATG